AGCCACTTTTTTTCTGCTTGGGTCAGAAGGTACCGGAAATTGGCCTGGACGCACTAGTTGGTTGCCTCTTTTGCTACAGCTGCGACGTTGGCCACAGGAAATTGATATCACCAATGAAGTTTTGAGGGGGGCGGGTCTGGCAGCAAGATTCAATACTTGAAAACCTGCCAATGGTTCATGAATGAGTAATGTTCCTAGTAAGGATTTCAGCATTTTCAGGATGTCCAGCCCCTCCTGTACTGGATCCGACAAAGAGTGTGAGTGAGGTCTGGTTAAAATGTGTGAGCAATGCCAGTCTTGATGTGTAAAGAAGATGCAACGATTGGGGTCTTACCACCTGACTTGATCCTTACCAACAAATCACCGTAGATGTAAATCGGGGTTGGCGAAGCCCATGCAAAGGTATGTGCGGCCGGATGCCTTTGCCTTCAACGCCGCGATCAGCGCATGTGAGAAAGGCGTGGCGATCATCAGAAATTTGGCGAGTCGAATCGGTGCACAAGTTCCATCCGCGTGGCAAGTGCTACAAACGGGTCGCGGGCGAAGAAAGTGGACATGCGGCATCTGGAAACCCAAGGCTTCCGAACCGAGAAACCGGGTTGGTGGAAAGACCCAAGACCCAAGACCCAACAGGAAGTGGACTTCTGCGGGCCCACCTGGAGCCAATGCATTCCCTGATGAACTTTGCGGGCTTTTGTTGTGTTCTCAGATGGGAGTTTCTGAAAATGGATGTCGGACCCGTGGTTGATAGATATTTAAAAGGGAACCAAAAGGAACACCGCCATTTTAGGGGACGAAGCTTTATCTTTGGCCAGGCGAGCAGTGGCCTCAATGCCTCTCGCTGCTGTCCTCCGCTCTCAGCTGCGGCTTCGCGCCCCGGCAAAGTTTTTGCTGGTAGATGGACGAGCCTTTCGAAGGCAAAGGCTTGGCTTCGCGAAATCGTTGGGGCCTCAAGATTCCTGATGGAAAACCCGGGCTCCAACGATCCTGACTCCTTTTCACAAGCTGAAGGTCCGGGGTGTGCCCGGAACCCCGCCTCCATACTAGTTGCCACCCGTTCGGGTGTGCCACACCAAAGGTTCCTTTTGCCAACCTTGCGGCATTGGCATCGGATCTTCGGAGATGCAGGATGTCAGGCTGGCGACGCTATACCATCGGCTCTTAATGGAATCAGCCTAATCACCCTATATCATCAATAATGTATCATTCACGAGGAAAGTTCTCATAGAAACGAGGGGGTTGTTTCGTGGGATGTCATGATGCTAGATGTTGGTATTGGACACGTTCCCACGGTCAGGACAGAGCCGATAGAGCCTCTTGTTCAAGCAGTGCTTGAGCTCCGGCACAGAGTCATGCACCAATAGCTAAACAAAGGCCAAGTTGTTCAGCTCGTTTTCGTGGATGCTCCCTCAGGCCTCAGGTGCTTTGCAGCCATGCATGATGATCTGCCGGAATCCACGTAATACACTTAAGCAAATAAGTAACGAATGAAGCTAGATGGGGCTCATTCCCTCATTCCTCAGACAGTCGCTCAGGGATCCATTTAGTACCCCAAAGTAGACTGGTTTGAGAGTCAAGATGCGGAACCCAGCCACACAGGGACACCGGGTGAATATTCGCCGACTTAATCCGAATAAATATGAGCATGTTAGTTTTCCCTTACGAACCAAACCTTGAAAGAGAAGTGCCCACATGCCATCAGACCTAACCCCAAACCAAAACGCGTCAGCGCGAGGCCCAAGCGCTGGCCTTCGCGCCGGCGGCCTTGGCGAGCCCCTGGCAACACGCCCAAGGCTTGCTGGCGCTGCGGAAGCGGCGGCTCTCGCCCGCGCAGGTTCTCGAGTGGGAAATGCGGGGGACTGGGGGCGTCTCCGATCGGCCAAATGGAAAAGCGGAGATGGCTCCAGGAAATGGATCCCTGGACATAGCTCCATATCTGAGCTCTTGGGGATTGTTAGCACATGCGTCATAATGGGGGGCACATGGGGGGAAGTAGGATCAACCACTGGCCAAGTAGCCTGTCCTTGCCAGCTCTTAGTGGCTGGACTCAAGCTTGCCTGCTTGGAGTCCGGGAAGCCATGGCTATGTCTGGATCGATGGATTCAGGCAGATGCACATCTCCGGACATGCCATAGCACATACATGGCACCCATGTTTTTGTTCAGGCCAGTGTTCATGCGGATATGTGTATGTGCTTAGCGCGTGAAGTTGTTCCAACACTGGCCGTGTGTCAGACATGGAGTCATGGAGCATTGTGTTAAGCAAGTAAATAATTTAGTGCCATGCTTTGTAGCTCAAAGCTCAGCCTCCTAGGACTCCTAACATGGCACTTGACAGTGTTGGAGGAACCTTGTCTTCAACTCCCGCAAATACTGGGGATGGACAAAAAGTATTCCCCAGTTGGTAGGTGGTTTATCCCATTAATGGGTTTCATCCATGCCATTTGGGGAGATGTCGATTTTGTCTATCCACGGGATGATTTCTGTGCCACACAGCCTGTGCCAGTTGTGCAAAAAGGGTCGCAAGAAAAGTCTGTACCCTTCTCTCCCGCCAAGCCTCACGGATTTTGCTACGTTGGGAAGGGTCGCGTGCTTCTCCCGCGTATCGCTCTCTGCGGGCGTTTCGGGAGGACTTCACAGTGAACGCGGTGCTCAGCGCGTGCCAAAAAGCATCGGCTGCCTGGTTTGCACAAGTCCGGACAAAGCTGCGGGTGGTCCTTTACCATAAGCAGGGGTGAATGAATGGTTGTATGTTGTGCAGGTTGTTTTTTTGGGGTTCCAAAGTGGCAAAAGCACAATTTTGAGGGTCTCCTCTATTTTAGCAAATACCCATGTTTCCCCTTTTGTCCGAGTGGGGCCACAGCTTTTGTGGAACCCAGTCCAGGAACATTCTTCCATATTCTACCAAATGGCTTTGCATTGTTGGAAAATGACCCAACGGCATTAAACTTGTTGCTTACTGGCAGCAAGGCTTTTAAGTGTCGCTTGTAACCACAAAGGAATATATGGTGAAGGCTCCCTTGTTTGGGCAAAGTGTCGCATTGAGACAAATCGATGCCCAATGCCTGTTTTGGGGTGTCCTTCGTGGAAGGTGTCATTCTAAGCTTGGCGACCTCCTGCGCAACTGGCCGCCGATTTTGCGAAAGGGTGGAGGTGTTTGGCGGCAAATGGTGCCATTGACTGCTTGCGTATCCACCCAAGAGGGGGCGAAACGAAAGGATGCAGTGGTTGGCACACCCTGCCAGATCGTGACGCATTACAATCTATCTCCACTGCTTGCTGAATGTTGGGAACCATTGATGCAATTCAAATTACAGTTGTTCTAGTTTGAACATGGGTGATTCATCAAGTGTGTATCAATCTCTTTCCATTTGCTCATCACTCTGTTCCCTTGCTTGGTTAAGGGAATGGTCATGACAAGTTCAAAGCCATGGGTTACGCAACGCGTTCAAGGCTTTGGTTGCTCACGCAAGACCGGGAGTTGCTGAATCCTGCTCCAGGGAATCCACCCCTTCGGGGGTCCTCAGTTAAGGGACAATTTCAATTTCGAACCCCCGCCCATTTAGGGACATCTCCTGACCCCATTTTTGGAGTTCCCTTATTCCCCATAGATGCATGTACATCTATACACATATGCATATTGCCCCCTTCAAAGACAATGTCGCCCCAACTGAGTTCGCTAACAACTTGATAGCCATGTAGGTTATATACTATATGATGAGTGGTCAAAACCAGCAAAACACCACCCAAGCGCTAGCTTCGCGCTAGCGTCGCGCTAGCATTTTATCTTCGCAGTCACGCCACCTGCATTGTCCTTGTGCGGCCAGAACATGGAACTCGCGCGTAATGGAGCCCATTTTCAGACCTAAACTGCAGTCACACATGGCTTGGGGTTTGCAGCAGAACTTTCGAAGAGCAGATGGCTCTTTTTACTGCGCCTTTGCTGCACTGACTCGTGCATGATGGAGCTGCTAAGTACTCGGCGCAGACTCGGCGTAAGCTGTGCAACTAATTGGGAGCTGCTAGGCAGCTGGTCCCAAAACGAGGTGGTCAGCGAGCGTAGCGCGAGCGCGGCGCTAGCCAAAGTGAATGAGAAAGGCTTTACGCGAGGCGTGGCCCATTGTGTGGCCCAGATGCTGAGGAAGAAACTGCGAGATGCTGGCAGGGAGGGCGACAATGCAAGGCTGGACAGCGCTGCAGCTACGCTAAAAAGAAGCACGAGTTACATTCCAGCGGCAGTAGCAGCAGTGGCTCTTCGGAGGAACAAGAGATTGGGCCGCCGCGGCCCGCGGTCGTTTTTTCCTTTTTGCCGGAGACGCGTTTGCACGCGTTAGTGCTTTTTGTCCACAATCTTATTGAAGACGCCATTTCTGACATGATTAAGGTCGTTGCATCCCATACTTTCCGTTTCAAAGCGGCACGCTTCGGATTCTGCATTCATGCCCTTTTCAGGAACCGACATTTTTGACGACCTGGCATATCTATGTGAACGTATGATAAGTATGCGGGGGGATGTTCCTATTCTTGCAAAGGGGCTCCCCCAACAAAAACATATGTGATCAACACTCCCATCAGTCAGGGTCACATCCCTTAGCGGGAACCTAGTCTGAGGCCCTAACAAGTTCATCCACCCCAGGCCTGGCGCTCTGCTTGCGCCAACTTTACGCCCTCCCTGCTGCCTGCGACCTCCGCCATGAGCGCCGCAGGAAGCGCGTTTCGCGGTTCGCGCGGGTCGGCGATTTTGAACGGGCATGGGTATGTGTCAAAATAAGGGGAGTCCCCAAACAGGTGGGTGACCGCAGTGAGTGTTTTGCCTTTTGGCTTCCCAACCTGCAAAGGGCGGTTAGATTGTTTTTGCTAGCTTCTCCCAGATTTACCTGCTTTCATGCTCTTGTAGAAGTTAGTACCCTTTTCATACTCTGCAGGCGTGAGTGCACAAAAGCCGCACCCTGGAAAAGCCCTGCCTATTGCCTGCCTCTGAATGGCAGGTGATGTGCGTATACACTTATGTTGTGTGAATAAGTACGATTCTCATCCGGGCCGTTCCGAAACGGTTTGCAGCCACACCCTTTCACACGAGGGGCGAGCAAGGTGTGCGCATGTGAGGAGTGTTTAAGAGTCAACTGATGCTACCGATGCATCTTGGCCAAGCACAACGCGGAATGGACTTGTTTTGGCAGTGGTAGAGGCATGGAGTTTCCGCAAAGAAACAAAGCGTAACATGGCGCCATTCCTATCCCAAGATGAGTTTGCAGCTATTGGACGCGGTTCACTGTATGAAAGTTCATTCTGGCTGCAGGTCATGTCCCTTGTTGGCCGGAGTGAGTAAGCACAGAAGCCCCTGTTCACTCAAAATGCACGTATTGCTCGCTCCAGAATTGTCAGCAGTTCAAACGGTCGATGCGGCCATGACATATAGTAGGGAACCACCTCAAAGTGGTTGGTGGACAAGAATCCGCACGTGAATGACGTCCACCAAAGGGTCTCTTCCTGAAGCTCACTCATTTGGCTGCGCGTATCTCTGTGTATTCTGGGATCGGAAATCTTAAACTGTCGAATTCATGCTGCGGATTCTCCAGCGATTGCAGACCAATCATATATATATATATATATGTATATATATATATATATATTACATCGCAAAAAACGGCATGTGCAGCTTTCCTGCTCACAATATTGGGAATCCACCGTACCCTGGTGATATCAACATGAAATGTGACTAACTAAATAGATGTAGTGCCAGTCAATGTCAACCCATCACCCACACCCTCCACTGAGAGGTGTCCCCTGGAAGAAAGGAACTTCTACGCAAAAGGTGTCTGTTAGTATTGAGTAGGGGGTGTGAATCGCCCACGCACACACACACACACACACACACACACACACACACCTAGTTGTGTCATACAAAAAACTAACTTGTGAGGGGCCCCTCCATGTATTACTCAGGGGTCGACATGCGTTGGCCTTAGGCGGTCGGTGGCAGCTGGCTGCCAGCTTGCTGGCAGCCCTTCAGGCAGGAGAAAGGATTCAGCTTTGGATGGAGCTTAGGGTGGTTTGAAGCATGACTTTGGCCCGTTTAAAGTGAGATTCTACTGGTAGGTTTGGACATAATAGACAACCCTGTCCCTGATTTCCTGGGTCCAAGTAGCTCAGGACTAAGGGGCCAAAATAGGCTCAAATCCTTCCCATTGAGTCCAGGCGCGCACGACGGTGGATGAGGCGTGCTACAACGCGGCGCTCATTACTTGTGAGATTGCGTGCAAATCGATTATGCATAGCTGTCGTTACTTCAGCAGCTTACCTGTTCAGTGTCCAAACTTAAAACTTGTTGCTCCCAGGTGAGCGACGTTCGAACGCCCTTGCATTTGAAAGCCCGTGCATTTGAAAGCCGTATTCGGGAGGAAATGTTGTTTTGGAGACGTTGATTTTTCCTAGGCCGCGAAAGCGCCGCAAAAGGGGTTTATCAGTTGTGTACCCTCAAAAGGTTCGCAAAAGCCACAATCTGTATGTGTTTTGTTGCATGCATGACTGCAAGTAGGGCTCAGGCAGGTGGGTTTGGCATGGAGCAACTCATGAGCTTTGAAATCTATTTGTATAAGTGTCCGCTTGAAAAGCTGGGGTTTTGACACGAGACCCTTGCCGAAGCTCACAGTGCGTGAAACACTTGCCCAAAACCTGAAAAAACTGCCAAAAGCTCCGCGGAAAGGGGCCGCAACTTGCCAGCCTCGCCCCATAGGTGTCGCCCAATCAAGTTTCAATCGGGCCAAGTTTGTCCGCTTCTCGATGTTTTCCTGCACGATCGAAAACGAAAACGCGCGTTAAACCCCATTCCTCAATCGGCGAAAACGGCGGGAAAGCGATTCTACAAATTTCGTGTTTGTTTTATGTAACAATGCCAATTGAGATTCGATGATGGGTTGGTACAAACATCCTATTGATTTAGATGTAATATGCTCTATATGTGCTAAATGCCAACAAAACATATTTGATAAATAAATTTTATTATGTATAAATTCTATATTATAATGATATTATATAAAAATAATATGTTTAAATTTTATAATATAATTATAATATTAATTTACATATTATATTTCTTTTTTATAATGTTTTTTTAAATATATTATATTAATATATTTTTATATTATTAAAATTTTATAGTTTTGGTATAATACAAATTTGTATTATGGTATATATTTTAATAAAATTAGATATATATATGTTTTAAAAAACATTATAAATATTATATATTTTTTTAAAAAAATAAATAAATATTTTTTATGGTTTATGGTTTATATTATATACTAAATATTTATTTAAATATATATATATATTATATAATATATTAAAATTCGATAATAAATTAAATATTTAAATATTCTTATATTAATTATAATTATAATATTTTAAAATATATAAGTTAAATTGATGATTATGGGATTTACAATTTAATGGTTATTTAATATTATATATTTAGATAAATTAAAGGAATATATAAAAACAAATTTATATTAAGATTTATTAAATATAAATAATATATAGTATTAAAGAATTTAAAATATTTTAATATTAAATAAATAAATTATAATTAATAAAAATTATGAAATAATTTAAATAATAAAAAAACAAAATTAATATAATAAATAAAAATTAAATAATCGATAAAAATACACAAAAAATATTAAAATAAAGAAATGAAATATAAAACAAACGGGGGGGAAAAAAAAAGAAAGAAATATAAACAACATAACAAAAAACAACAAAGACCCACTAAGAACAATATACAAAGATGGAAAAAGAGAGAAATAATAAACACAAAAACAAATAAAGAAAAAGAATTAAGATAAAGATAGAGAAAAATAAAACAGAAACAAATATAAAGACAAAGAAAATAAAAAGAGAGATAGAGAGAGATAGAGATATAAACAGATATAGAGAAATAAAGAAATAAGAAAAATAAAATAAGAAAGACAAAAGAAATAGATACAGAAAAAAAAGATATAGAAACACAAAGAAACAAAAGAGAAAAAAGAGAAAACTAGAGGAAAAAGAAAGAAAGAAAAAAGAAAACCACAAATTATTCGATAAATATTATTTTTGGAAAGGCATTAAATTCTGAGAATTTGCGGCCGGGTTGTTGCGAGCCAAAATTTGGAAAAATTGGCTAGATTATATTAGAAGAATAATAAATGAAAATTTGAAGAATTTTCCGATATTTCGTCAAATTTTTGGGTATTTCCGGGAAAAGACCGAATACCGCTGCAATGGCTTTGTGAAGAATACGGAATATGACCCCCGAGGCCGCACCGAATTTTAGGAGAATAGAGTTATATATATTTATATTAGTTAAATTAATATTTATTATTTTATAATATATATTATTTTTGATTTTATTTAATTTTTTAAAATGAAATTCAAAATATTAATATATATATATAGTTTAATAATTACTAAAAATTCAAGATTATATAATATTCTATTAATATATATATATATATTAATCTAAATATTTTTTATTTTTTTTTTTATATAGAAAAACAAAGATGAATATATATTAAGACCGTTCGAGTGCTGCTAAATTGACATTATTTATGAGTAAAACACAAATAATATTATTTATGAGTAAATTTATATTTTGTTAAAATTCTAGAATTTCTACTAGAATCGGATAGCAATATGAGGATAAAATCGGGGGCAAAAAGGCAATATGACCAGAATTAATATATTATGTGCTAACCCCAGCACAAAACCTGTTTGTAAGACTTACAACAAAACTTGAAAATTGCGTACTCGGCCTGCATATCGCTTACATATCGTTTCCCATCATTTACGAAGTACTCCGTATTATTGGGGTGTTGTTTATGTATCGTCCCGTGTTCTTATGTATCGCCCGGTGATATTTACGTGTTGTTTGCATATCGCCTATATATCATTTATGAATTATATATGAGTCGTCCTGTATTATGTAGCATGAAAATGCATGGTTCCCCAAATTATGTTTTGTTTTTTAACTCTCAAAATATTATTTCGGTTACAAATATGTCTTATTTATGTATTATTCATATATCATGTATATGTTGTTTAAGTCATATATATTATTTATATATATTATATATATTCCGAGCACTATTGTATATATATCGTCTTTCGTTATATTCTTTTTATTTTATATATATTATATATTATATGATGCTAATCACCATATTATTCTATATTATTCCATATCATTATTCTATTTATAATTTTTTATATAACATATGTGTCCCCCAAATTAAATTTTTGAATAATCTAATATTTATATATAATAATATATATAATTAATATTTAATTTTTTATTAAAGCCATTTAATAATTATTATTTTCCAAAATCAATTAATAATATTTTAAATTAATAATTATAATTTAAATATATTTTATAATATATATCAAATTAAACAAACTATATTATTTCGTTTCGAGCAATCCCTACCCTCCATACTTACAAGTATGCGAACTCTGGTGGGATATTCGGCGGGATCCATTAGAGAGTTACTCTAATGGGATATTTAGCGGGATCCATTAACAAGCTACTCTGGAATATTTAGCGGGATATTTGGCGGGCGGGATATTCGGCGGGTTCCATTGGCGAGCCGCTCTAGCGGGATATTCAATGGGATATTCGGATACTCGGCGGGATTCATTAGTGAGCCGTTCTAACGGAATATTCGGCGGAATCCACTAATGAATAGCTCTAACAACATATTCGGCGGGATCCACTGACGAGCTGTTCTGGCGCGATACCTAACGGAATCCATTAACGAGCTGCTCTAACGGGATACTAGGTGGGGACGTGGTGTAAAAATATCGTAAATGATAATTCCAATATAAAATCTAATATCCTCTTCCTGTCGGCTAGGGAATAATCCGATTAAATTATTTTAATATAATATTTAATTTTCAAGAATTTATATATTTTTATTATTTATAAAAGAAAAATATTTATAAAAACCGATTGTTTATTTAAAGCTATTAATTATTAAAATGTGATTTTCAAATGTAATTTAATCAATTTATAATATTTATTTAGTTCTTGTTTTCAAAAATACAAAAAAAAGATATAACACCAATAATATAAAATACTAATAAATAAAAAAGCAAAATTAATATTAATAATTCCATTCCATAAAAAAAATAATTCTATCTATTTATGCGTACCAATATACCCTATATATTCTAAAGACTAGAAATATATCTATATTCCTAAATATATAGGCCTTATTCATCTTAAACAATAAATTAACAAATTTTTGCATATATATATATATCATTAGCAATAAAACATAATAAATCAAAAATCATATATATATATAAATATATATATAATAAATATTTATCAATATATATAATACAACACATATAAAATTATAATACAAATAATCATTATAAAATAATATATTTAACAACCATAAGTAATTTTAATTTGCTCGGAAAACATTTCCTATATATACCTTACACGCACATCTTAATTAATAAGTTATAATAATAATAAACGAAAAAAATCAATCTACCAACTAATCAACAAACACAACAAAAAATTCGAACAACACAATACCACAAAACCTTCTAAAACACAAACATCATTAAACACACAAAAATTATCAATTCACCGCTTTTTAGGCTCTCAAAAATCATTATAATTCAATATCCAACCAATATCAATTTTAAATATAATATATATATATAATTATTATAATTTAATATCAACTAACATCAATTTATTTAAAGAGAATTAAATAACATATTAATAGTGCTTAGAAATATCAATATATTTCAACAATAATTTTATTTCGATATATATATATATTATATAATAATGGTAATTAATATGTATTTATTTGTTATTTTTTTTATATAATTATTTATATACTTTAAAATATATTATAAATTATATAATTATTTAATTTATAATACAAATAAACCATTAATTCATAAAACATAATATAAATAAAATAATTATATATTAAATCGACATAAATAAAATATTATCATAATTAAATTAACATATATATAAACATAAAATCATAAGAATCATAATTATTCAATAACCAAATTATATTAATTTTAATTTATACATTATTATAAATTATCTATTTAAATGATTTTGAATTTAACTCTATCTATTTTTACAACATAATAATTTCATCCTCTTCCAATATTATTTCAGAAGAAAAAAACAAGATTAATCAAATTATAACGATATAATTTAATGCCATAATAGTTTCGTAAAAAAAACAACCAGAGAATTCTCAAGAAGTTGTCCTCTTCGTCTAGGTATTTTGGCCTCGAATTGTTACACATTTCGCACCCCTAATTCTCGGACTTTTTTGGGGCGGATTTGTACGGTGGACACACTGTCCCTTCGTCTTTCCTCCATTCTTGACGCGGTTTCCGGGCTCCGAGATCCTCCCCGCCAAAACCGATTCGCGTTTGATCAATGCAGGATCAATGCCAATCAGTGTGGATCAGTACGCGGGTCAGTGCGGAAAGGTGCGGCTCCATGTGGATCGGCACGGATCAGGTGCGCATCTGTGCGGCGCAATACGGACTAGTGCGGCTGAGTGCAGAGAAGTGCGGGCCAATGAGGCTCGGTATGGATTAGTGCGCCTCAATGCGACTTAGTGTGGCGCAATGCGGCGCATGACAAATCAATGCGGCTCCAAACCGCTGTACTTTGTGGTTCTGGACCTTTCATCCGTCGTGAGGGTTCGTGCGGATCAGCGCGGATCAGTGCGGCTGAATGTGGGTCAGCGCGGCTTCGTGCGGCTTAATGCGATCAGCACGTCTCAGCTCGGATTTCGGTAGTGCGGATTCGGGCAGCTGAGCGCGGATTGGTACCGAATAGCGCGGCTCACATGCATCCGGCTCTACATGCATCAGCGCGTATCAATGCGGCTCAACGCGGACTGGCGCGGCTCAGGGCGGAGCAGTGCAGACCCGCGCAGATCAGCGCGGCTGAGCGCGGAGTAGTGCGCGACTCACTAGCTGCCTTGCTTTAGAGCTTGGGTACAGGGTTCACCCTGCGAAATCGAGGTTTTTGGTGGTTTGTTTGTTGGTTTTGGCTCCGTTCTGGACAATCTCTGCGTGCTGGGCACGGTTTTTTGTTTGTGGGCGTGCTTTATCTCGATCTTGTGGCTGTTGCCACTTGCAAGGCACGGGGAAGGCAATTGTTTGCCACGCTCACCTCGTGGACACAAGAAATGTCCGAGCAGAACGGTTTTGAGTTTTGGAGCCTATTTTGGAAGGAAATGGCTCCAAACAATCACTCAAAGAGTCTTATCTGGCGCAGGTCGCTTTTGAGCCCCAAACTCCCGTCGAAAGAGACTGAGTTTTTGGCAGCTCTCCAGGAATGGGAAGCTGACCTGGACAAATATGAATCAGAATATGGCCCTGGCAAAGCCATAAGTGACGAAGACGCGTGCTCTGGTTTTGATAGAGGCATCCACTGCCTTAAAACAACATCTTTCTCTAGCCATTCAATTGGACCTACCCAAACGTCTCTTCAAATGTTGTTGTTTGAGATTTTGTACCGTCCCAAGCCACCCATTTTCGCCCACGTTCTTTTTTTGCCACCTCTTCGGTGAGAGTTTGGCCGAAACCACAGCCGTTGTAGGCCTAGTGTTTTGGGTTTGGGGGCGCGTCTTTGAGCGCAGGCCCCCTAGAGCACCCTTTCTTGCAAGGAAGGGGCTCCGAAAACCAAGGGTCCTGGGAAAAACTCTGCCAAGATCCCTTTGCAGCGCCCTTGTTTCACAAGCAGGCTGCAAGACTGCCACAAAGCAGCCCAGGCGACCCTCCGGAAACTAGAAGAAAGATGATGGGTGTGTCTCAAAAATGGCCAACCTACTGGCTTCCGTCGAATTCTGCAAGGCCCGAATGTTGACACATACCCATGGGCAAGGCTTCTCTTAAAGAAGCCAGCAAGCCATAGCGCCCAAAGCGGCCGTAGGCGTATGCCGAAGAAACGCTAGCTGTGTGCAATGCATATCTTCCACCCCTCCTTGTGAGCGACCAACGTCCCTGAGGCAGACCCAGGACATGGATGGTGTGGACAGGGTGCCAGGGCCGGGTTGCCCCACTTAAAGGACTCCACTACCAATTTGTCCAGCCTTGGGGCCTTGTGGTTTGGTCTTTGAAGGCTGCCTCAACGCTTCTCCCAAGAAGCAAACAGAAAGGAGACGAGGGCGTATCAAATGTCCGACACCAACAGAGCCACTCACAATATCTCACAATATAAATATTTGCATCGAAGCGATGTCTCAAAGGCTCTTCTGGGGTGAAAACGAGCTGGTCTTTGACTTGAGTGGCTCTAAGTTCAAATGAGAAGATTTGACAAGTTGAGGACGGCCCTCCACGTCAGGATGCGAACACTGTAGCACTGCACACAGTGCTAGTCATGGGCCAAAACATGAGGCTGCATTCCATCATGCGTTCTTGTTCACGGATGACCTCTAGGAATTCCAGTCACAAATCAGCCAAATTCAACCACAACAAGCGCCAGCTGAATAAGTGCTCGTGAAACTGATGCAAGGCCTCACTTCTTCTTTTTTTTTGGGGGGGGGAAGCCTCGTCCAACTCGCGAGCATCTCTTGGAATTGCGGGTTAGATCAGTCTTGTTGGTGCTTTTCGATGATGTAGAACAGGAGCGGTTGGCCGAATTAGTTCTTCCACCCAGTACTATTTGAATCCAGCCAGCCCAATGATGACAGCGCTTAGAGAAGTTGATTGCTCTCTCAGCAAAGCCATTCAATGGCTGGAAATGGTCGCATCTCGCTTGTCACAAAATAGGAATTCCTTGTTGGACCCTGCTTTGCATGTTGGCCCACCACATCTGATCGAAATACGCTGGCGTGGTTTTTGGAATGCAGTCAACCTTTTTGGGGCAAATGGTGCATCAAAGAGGGTGTGCACCAAAGCACAACCCAAGGACAAATGCGGGGCAAATCACCACTACATGCTTACAAGGGCAGTATACCGCAGTGTCCATGGTTTTCATAGTCGGGTAGTGCTTGCAAAGCGGCCATTAAGCATTCAAGGAAAAATGGAAGTTCCTTCAAAACAGGTGTGAATGCAACAGGTCTCGCCTGCACGTATCAACACATGTGAGCCAGACAACACCTTTGCGAGGTCTGAGACACTTCCCAGGTGCTCTTGAGGGAGCCGTGTCCTAAACCCATGGCCCGAGGAATCCAAGCCGTGGGAACATGCAGCAGTCGAACGGAGCCGCCTTCAAACCAGCTCCTCGAGGTGAAGCATGTAAGTACCTCAATCAAACCCCAAACCTCTTCAAGCCGGGAGAGGTTGAATTTCATGAAATTTAACGGTACTACGTATCTGAAAACCCATGATTGGCAAGTGGTTCAGTTCAGTCAGTTACAACCCATATTGTCAAGGAAAAAGGGTGGGAGGGCATGTTGCTTTTCTTCAGCTCTAACACTTCAGATAGTCAAAGCAAGGTTCAGTCAATCTCAATCCAGAACCGAAACAAACCCATCATTTCGGGGCTCAACTATTTCTGAGACAAAGCCACATGTACAACAACGTTCCATAAAAATACATCCCAACCTCATCTGTCTCGCAAGTGGATCCTGCAAATCAGCTGGCACATGTGACATTCAACGTGGCCCGCACTTATCCTCCAGGCAATATATCGAAACGCTACGTATTTTAAAGCGATATAAAGGTCCAAGGAACAATGTGGCTGGGGACCGCCAAGATTTTGTCAACTTGGGATTAACCTGGAGGACCATACGAATCAGAGGGTGGTTTTCCCTTTGAGGATATGATCTGTTTTCGGGGGTCGCTCCGAAGAAATCTACCAATTAAATTGCAAAAACCTGAACTCGGAATGGGATCTCCAAGCACCGTTCCTTTCCCGCTTCTCCCGAATTGGTGGTTGGATTGGTGGTTTGGGGAATTAAAGCTCTGCCCGGATGAGAAATGTCCCAGCCCTTGGCCACCAGCAAGCCAAACCAAACCACCAGCGAAGAGAAGCTGATTCTTGGCCAATCCCTCGCTTTTCCCCCCCCTGCCCCCCCCCCAAAAAAAAGAAAAGCAAACCGCCAAGCCAAACCACCAGCGAAGAGGGGAAGCACATTTTGGTTAAAAAACCAGCGGCGCGCGCTCGGTTCGGACTGTTCCGAGGCGCCCAGAATCACCACCAGCGTCGCGGTCAAAGGCGCCAGGAAAGGGCACCCATCTCGGATCGGATCACATCGAATCCATGGAATATCTGGGGGGAGTTGTCCGTAGGAAGTTCCCTTGAAGACTTTCCTCTTTAAAGGGGGGCACGTTGGGGATGGCTCCTCAGAATAGGGGAAGTGCATGCCAGTTGCTTTGGGGGGGCTCTTCAGCTGAGCACTTTCACAGCATCTAAACACATCCTCACACTGAACGGTCTCTCCAAAGGGCCATGGAAGCTATTAATACCAATTTTTGCCCAGCCCTGTGCGAGCTCTCGGGACGGTTGGTGTCAAGCACCCTTTCATGACCCCCCGCATTGTCCTCCAACAGCAACAGTACACTCAGGGTGAAAGTAGTCGGGTGCCCATAGCAAGGGGAGCCATGGCAGCTGAATAGTGACTACAAGTAACTACTAGTGACTCTTAGAGACTATTAGTTACTCTTAGATACTACTTGTGACTCTGAGTAACTATTAGAGTCCTACGGACTAAGGACAACCAGTCATGGTGGCTCCCCCCTCTCATACTTATGTGGCTCATGAAGCCAACTTGGGCGAATTCTCAATCCACACGGCTTGGCTTACATGGGGCCTTGTTGGGCTCCTACGAGTTTTTTCCCCAACTGTAAATGGGAGGGGTGCCTGTAAAATGGGAGAAACTACTCATCCACCAGGGGCTTATTGGGACCCTGGTTTCCCACGCTTGATGTTCCTAGCGGAACAAAGCGCAGTCTTCTGAGTGGTGGGTCTTTTGGGATGTGCTGCAAGTGTGAGTTGATCCAAAAACATCACGCATATTAATTCATATTAACCAAACAAGCTTTGAGGGAAATGAACAACCAAAAACCTTGAGGGAAACAAACAATAACAAAGTCCTGAAGGAAATAATGTGTTGGGCATGCCTGAAAGGCAACACAGAACTTAAAAAGAAAACACACACACACAAAGTCTGAGGGAATTGTGTTGGTCAGGCCCAATATCTTTTGTCCAGGGGATTTGCTGGTTTTACTCGAGGTGCTTTGTTTCTTGCATAGTTGGCCGTTCTCCTGGATACTCTCTCTCATGCAAAAAGCTTTCTCAGGAGACATCGGCTATGCAAAGAAAGCGCTGCTACGTGCCTTATAGTCACAAACGCATGCTGAAACGTCTAGAAATGTACAAACATAGTAGACTTGCGCTAGACATGTTCTGAAACAATCTCGACAAAACCAGATACAGTGCTAAAAATTATTTGAAACAGCCCTCAAAGTCGCCTATTTACCATCATTGACAAGCTAGTTTACGCATAATTTGCACTCACTCAGAACATTGGCCTGTTTAAGTCTATCTGTAGTCAAAATATCTTCTACCATCGTCATTCGAGTAGAGGGCAGAGAGGCAAGACTCCATCAAATGCCGAAATCGGATTTGTGTCTGGATGTAAAACTACTACAGTACCCTCCTGTCCAACATGGAACCCACCAAAGTAGTCTTCATAGGACACCTCCGTCAGGTTCCATCTTAATGGATGGGAAGGTAGTACGCATTTGGGCTTTTCTCACAGTTTTACTTTTTTCTCGGGAACCCCCCGTTTTTCCCCTCTTTTTTTTCGGGAACCCAAAAGGAACCGAAGCTTTAGGGGCTCCCGTCGCCAGGGCACAGGTCTTCAACTTGCAGAGCTTCACCACCCGCGAGAGCCGTGCGAACCGCTCCAGCAGCAGCGTTCGCAAGATCTGGCGGGCACGGGATCGGTCAAGTTGGGTATATCTCAATAAGGCGCCCGCCCCCCCCCCCCCCTGAAAAAAAAAAAAACTGCGCTTGCCCTTTTGGCTCCCCCTTACACCAAGGTGACAAGGTAGAAATGTCTGTCTGGCTTCCCTTGAAGTTTCCCCAAAAGAAAATTAAGGTACCGTTTGGGCAAACCAACGGGCTTGAAACCCTGTTCCGAATGATTGGAGGAATTCAGCCACCGCGGGATTCTTGGCGTGCTTTTCCGAGCCTCGGCACCCGTTTTGGTGGCTTCGACCCCCACTTTTGACGCGAAGCCTTCTTGGGGCGACGGTAGTGCCTCAAGCGGGGTGGGACCTCTGATGGACTCGGCCACACCTTGAATAGATTAGTTGCAAAGCTTGCTGAAAGCGAGCGATGGAAGTTGGGATGCGCATCCACCATTTTCCGCGCACCACGCCCCGTGTCCCAGCTCCCTCGCGCCGGCAAGCGGATGAGGTGATCCAAGTAGATCTCCGTCACCGCGATGAAGTCGAGGAGGTTCATCTGAGCCATTCAACACTACATTTCCTCTCTCCCACAATCTTGGAACTGGGCGAGAGGCTTGCTCAAAGGGAACATAGTCTTCCCAAACCCTTCTGTAAGATTGTTAGCCTTTTTTGGTGAAAGGAGGGAACTCCAAAACTGCTTGATAATCAAAGCAGGAAGCTTGGATGTCCTGCAAATCCCAACCTTCCAAAGATGCGGTTAAACGGGATTGGTGGAAAGACCCTGCTTTGCCCTTGAACTTGGGAGCCCAATTGGACATTTTGGCGCCCTCAACGTACCGAGTGAAGGTCATGGGAGAGCCAAGGCATCCAGATGTGCGTAGGGAAGCCCCCAACGATCGGGGTTCAAGGCGCAGAGGTGAGCTCCAAACGATTGGCACACAAAGCGACCCTTGCCCCCGCAAAGTCGGCAGTCATACCAATGCATCGGCCTTGAAGCAAAACGCTCACGGGAAGACACCTCTCAGATCTCAAAGGGTTCCCTGGTGACTCCTGACGGAGGACATAATATGGGTGCGGCTGAAAATGAGGGACCCCCAGGTGGTTGGTCTCCTTTTGGCTCCCTTGCATAAAAGCCATCCAAAAAAGGGGGCCGACCCCCTATTTTGAGACAGATAGCACAACTCCTTCCAAGGCGATGACACCACCTGGTGGAATTGTGCTGGCCAACGCTGTGCTCAGGAAGCCAAGGGTGGATTTGCTGAACTGCCTGGTGCGCTGGCTTTCAAAGAACTGGCCGGGTATGTCTCCGGCACGGACACAAACCTGGCCAATGGGGGCCTTGGGGGGGGGGGGGGGGATGATTTGACTCACTGACACTACATAGTGTGCAAAGGCCCCCAGCTGGCCAGGTACTATGACATCTACGAAGTGGTCGAAGTCAAGCTTGAGAAGTGAAGGTGTGATTTTCAAAAACGATACGGACGTGAAGCATGAGGCGGTAAATTTCTGTGGTGGTATGGGAGGGTGGAGCCGGGCTATCAACGCAATTGGCTCCTTCTGAAAGACTGCGAGGTGAAAGTTGCCGTGTACAAGGTTGAAGATGCAGCTGCTGCATATTATGTGGTCAAATTTTATCTGCCGGCATTAGGAGTGTGCACAGGTTTCAGCATACGATGTGAGAGTGCATGCATTCCTTGTCGGCAAACACGGGCATGGCTCATGGTCTATACTTACGGCCCGGCGCTTTGCAGGTACGTACAAGGCAATGCTACAAGTGCGGGTGACTTCAGCACAGTGTGTGACGGTGGTGTCTCTACATCACCACATACAATGCAAGAGCACGGTGGTGCTGGATTCCTGGCTTGGCTGCTGCATTTTCTTGCGTTTCGGAGGTGGACTGTCTGGCAACCCGCCGCGCATGGATATGCGTAAGTCCGGTAGTGATACCTGCAAGCGTGTTTTGTGGTCGGCGGTGGCAGTATGTTAATATATTGTTTGACTGTCCTCGCTACAAGGCGGGATAGCTGCTTGGACTTTTCTTTGCACGGGCACTGCAGCACACTCTCGCAGGGTGTCTTTGCAGTGCAAGGCGGTCCGCCGCTTTTGCCTTTGTTTCCTTTGGGATGGTGCGAACAGTCTGCCGTTGGTCACCGCAATATTGCCTGTCTCCAAGCTCAGCGATCACGCAGAAAGGCCACGTCAACGACTTGGGCATGCAACGTTGCTGGCCTGGATCAACAGGAAATGGGACAACATAGCCCAAAGCCATGGTATGAAAAGAAGCCATGGAGAGCTTGACTTTCATCTACTCAGAACTCTCGAGAAAAAATAGACACCAGTCTGGGTAAGGTCCCTTTAAAGCAAAAAGGAATAAACAAACACCTGAAGCAACGGAAATGCACGCAACGGAAAAAATTAGGCCTGATGACCTGATGGAACATGGCCATCTCGCAAAAGGCAGTCAATGGACGAACGTGGTGGCCATTTTGAAGCCCCAGCTGGCAAGTGCTTTTGTTGCCTAGGCTGTCACGCAATGTGGCGCTCGGTTTACCCGGCTGCTCTCGCAGAGCTACAGGTTCTGGGGAGATGTTCGATATGGTGCCTATTTGGCATTTCCAGGTATGAGATGTGTAACGATGCAGACCAGAAGCATAGTGGTGTGTTTGGCAGGCTTATTTGCACATACGCCCTCGCTTGGCGACTTGACGGTGCACTCTTAACCAGCGCACATGCTACAAGTCTTCATTTGCCCGCTTTCGAGATGGAGGCATTGCGGAACATTGAGTCGGGAGTGCTAGTACTCAGCAAGTGTGCATCGGTTGGTCTACGTGCGCATGCAAGTGTCTGCAGCATTTATGAGATTTGGGCAATTTGTCAGACGCCCAGCGTGTCCAGCATGGTCAGTGGTGGAGAGTCCTTCTGGGCTTCTGGGCTTGATGTGACAAGTAATTCTTTCGTGTTGGAATTTTGGGACGTTGCCAACTTCGTCTTGTACCGACATCAGATTGATTTGCATGATGCCATCATGGCAGTCGTATTGTTGCTTGCTTGCTTCCATGGCAGGTTGTAACACATGAGGGCGGGCGTGCTCATTTCGGACACTTTTCTTAGCCCTTGCGGGCGCAAAACGCTGGAAGGAAGTGACCACGGATTCACCTGCTTTACGAATGGCTAGCTGGCCGGATGACACCAAACAGGCTTGATCTGCCGTGTGTGTGTTCTGGTGTGATTCTGAGTGCTTGAGGTATTTACAGAAGCCGCAGTGGCAAGTGGCTATGGAATTATGTGCAATGGAATTGCAAGTGGCTCTGCTCCAGATTTGATGTGCTTTGGATCTCTGCACAGTGCGGTTCTGGGTCTTTGAACCGGGTATAGTGCTTGTGCCCCAGATGTGTGTCCTCCAGTGGCAGCTTTTCAGCATGATGCCGCGCAAGTGGCGCTGTTGTCCTTTTTGGAAAGTACCCGCAAGGGTTGCGATACCGTCGGTGGTCAGCTACCTGACATCTGCAGGGGTCCAGGTCTAATTGGCAATTGGCTTTTCTTACGCGAGGTACGTAGCACAGGCTTTGCAAATGTGCAGCTTTGTTGCATGTTTGTGGCCTTTGGGCTACTGGCGTCATGCAGAACATCATGCCAGTGTCACGTGGCCTAGCTGGGGACTTTGCACAAACGGCAAGCCAAAACCATTGGGGAGGACAAAACGGGGGTAACCAATTTTTCCGAAAAAGACTGACGCGCCACCCAGGTCATGTACAGCTCCGAAATTATGCAGGGGCAGCGGGCCTCGATGCAAACCGCCGCTTTAAATCTATTAGATGGTTGTGAAGGTCTACCTAGGCCTTATCACAACCCCTATCAAACCATCGTAGGAGCGGGAGGGAGGGGGGAGGGAGCGCAAATAAGGTCCTCAATAACCGCTCCCTCCCCAGTCCCCATCAAACCAGGTAGAACCCTTTGGAAGCCACGGCACAGGGTCGGTGAAGAAGTCCCAGAACGTCCCGCCTCAAGGCTCGCAACTCAAGACGCGAAGACCAAGAAGCTGACAACTTGTGTTGATTTGGGTATGATTTTGGGGCCCTCCTCAGCAGGATGCTTAAAGGGGAACCAGAAGGAAAACCGAAAAGCCACATGTTTAAGCTGTATCTCAATCCCATTTTGGGAGACAGTCCTGCGCATATGACATTCAAGTGGACATGGATCCTTTGGGAGACATTTAGAAGGCGGTATGAAGGCGGTTTATTCTCGTATGCCCCTCACAGGGATGTACACAAATCCACTGTTGACGCGCGTGAACCACGCGTCGTTGTCAAATATAGAGGCTTCGTTCACTCGACCAGGTTGAAATTCAGGACCCAACTCAGGCCCTGGCCAGGTGCTTGGCACGGGACCCCCATCAAAGCGGCACATAGTTTCTTTGCTTCTGGCCTCTGGGTGCACCCCAAACAGATGAAGTTTTCCTGTTGGTTTCCTTTTCGAACCACGAAGGGGTACCTCCGCCCCGAAAGCAACCGCACGGTTTATTCCCTGCGAGCGGCAGCCGGGCTTGATGGCGATGTTAGCCATCAGCCGCGCCAGCAGCTCAATCGTGAAGGCCGCCGCAAAAAAGATATCGAAGCCTTCGCCAACGAAAGCTTCAATGGTGAGATCTGACTGTTTTGCATTGGATTGGTTTGGATTGGTTTGCATTGGATTGGTTTGGAGTGGATGGGTTTGGATTATTTTGGATTGGTTTGCATTGGTGTGCATTGGTTTGGAATAGTTTGCATTGGATTGGTTTGCATTGGATTGCATTGGATTGGTTTGCATTGGATTGGCTTGGACTGGTTTGCATTGGTGTGCATTGGTTTGGATTGGTGTGCATTGGATTGCATTGGATTGGTTTGGATTGGATAACATTGGTTTGGATTGGATTGGTTTGCATTGGATTGGTTTGGATTGGTTTGCATTGGATTGGTTTGGAGTGGATTGGTTTGGATTATTTTGGATTGGTTTGCATTGGTTTGGATTGGATTGGTTTGGATTGGTTTGCATTGGTTTGCATTGGATTGCATTGGATTGGTTTGCATTGGTTTGCATTGGCTTGCATTGGTATGCATTGGTTTGCATTGGATTGCTTTGAATTGGTTTGCATTGGTTTGTATTGGATTGGTTTGCATTGGTTTGGATTGGTCTGCATTGGTTTGGATTGGTTTGCATTGGTTCGGATTGGTTTGCATTGGATTGGTTTGGATTGGCTTGCATTGGTATGCATTGGTTTGGATTGGTTTGCATTGGTTTGGATTGGTTTGCCTTGGATTGGCTTGGCTTGGTTTGGATTGGTTTGCATTGGTTTGGATTAGTTTGGATTGGTTTGCATTGGTTTGGATTGGTTTGCATTGGATTGGTTTGGATTGGTTTGGATTGGTTTGCATTGGTTTGCATTGGTTTGGATTGGATTGGTTTGGATTGGTTTGCATTGGTTTGCATTGGCTTGCATTGGATTGCATTGGATTGGTTTGCATTGGATTGGCTTGGACTGGTTTGCATTGGGTTGCATTGGTTTGGATTGGTTTGCATTGGATTGCATTGGATTGGTTTGGATTGGTTTGGATTGGCTTGCATTGGTATGCATTGGTTTGGATTGGTTTGCATTGGTTTGGATTGGTTTGCCTTGGATTGGTTTGGCTTGGTTTGGATTGGTTTGCATTGGTTTGCATTGGTTTGGATTGGTTTGCATTGGATTGGTTTGGATTGGTTTGCATTGGATTGGTTTGGATTGGTTTGGATTGGTTTGGATTAGTTTGCATTGGTTTGCATTGGTTTGGATTGGATTGGTTTGAATTGGTTTGCATTGGTTTGCATTGGCTTGCATTGGATTGCATTGGATTGGTTTGCATTGGATTGGCTTGGACTGGTTTGCATTGGGTTGCATTGGTTTGGATTGGTTTGCATTGGATTGCATTGGATTGGTTTGGATTGGTTTGCACTGGTTTGCATTGGTTTGCATTGGATTACATTGCTTGGTTTGCATTGGTCTGCATCGGATTGGTTTGGCTTGGTTTGGATTGGTTTGCATTGGATTGGTTTGCATTGGTTTGCATTGGCTTGCATTGGATTGGTTTGGATTGGCTTGCATTGGTTTGCATTGGATTGGTTTGGATTGGTTTGGATTGGTTTGCATTGGTTTGGATTGCATTGGTTTGCATTGGTTTGGATTGGATTGGCTTGGACTGGCTTGCATTGGTGTGCATTGGTTTGGTTTGGTCTGGATTGGTTTGGCTTGGTTTGCATTGGTTTGGATTGCATTGGTTTGCATTGGTTTGCATTGGTTTGCATTGGATTGGTTTGCATTGGTTTGGATTGGTCTGCATTGGTTTGGATTGGTTTGCATTGGTTCGGATTGGTTTGGCTTGGTTTGCATTGGTTTGGATTGCATTGGTTTGCATTGGTGTGCATTGGCTTGCATTGGATTGGTTTGGATTGGCTTGGACTGGCTTGCATTGGTGTGCATTGGTTTGGTTTGGTTTGGATTGGTTTGGCTTGGTTTGCATTGGTTTGCATTGGATTGGTTTGCATTGGTTTGCATTGGCTTGCATTGGATTGGTTTGGATTGGCTTGGACTGGCTTGCATTGGTGTGCATTGGTTTGGTTTGGTCTGGATTGGTTTGGCTTGGTTTGCATTGGTTTGGCTTGGTTTGCATTGGTTTGCATTGGCTTGCATTGGATTGGTTTGGATTGGCTTGGACTGGCTTGCATTGGTGTGCATTGGTTTGGTTTGGTCTGGATTGGTTTGGCTTGGTTTGCATTGGTTTGCATTGGATTGGTTTGCATTGGTTTGCATTGGCTTGCATTGGATTGGTTTGGATTGGCTTGGACTGGCTTGCATTGGTGTGCATTGGTTTGGTTTGGTCTGGATTGGTTTGGCTTGGTTTGCATTGGTTTGCATTGGTTTGCATTGGTTTGCATTGGCTTGCATTGGATTGGTTTGCATTGGTGTGCATTGGTTTGGTTTGGTCTGGATTGGTTTGGCTTGGTTTGCATTGGTTTGCATTGGTTTGCATTGGTTTGCATTGGTTTGCATTGGATTGGTTTGGATTGGCTTGGACTGGCTTGCATTGGTGTGCATTGGTTTGGTTTGGTCTGGATTGGTTTGGCTTGGTTTGCATTGGTTTGCATTGGATTGGTTTGCATTGGTTTGCATTGGCTTGCATTGGATTGGTTTGGATTGGCTTGGACTGGCTTGCATTGGTGTGCATTGGTTTGGTTTGGTCTGGATTGGTTTGGCTTGGTTTGCATTGGTTTGCATTGGATTGGTTTGCATTGGTTTGGTTTGCTTGCATTGGATTGCATTGGATTGATTGGATTGGCTTGGACTGGCTTGCATTGGTGTGCATTGGTTTGGTTTGGTCTGGATTGGTTTGGCTTGGTTTGCATTGGTTTGGATTGCATTGGTTTGCATTGGTTTGCATTGGCTTGCATTGGATTGGTTTGGATTGGCTTGGACTGGCTTGCATTGGTGTGCATTGGTTTGGTTTGGTCTGGATTGGTTTGGCTTGGTTTGCATTGGTTTGCATTGGATTGGTTTGCATTGGTTTGCATTGGCTTGCATTGGATTGGTTTGGATTGGCTTGGACTGGCTTGCATTGGTGTGCATTGGTTTGGTTTGGTCTGGATTGGTTTGGCTTGGTTTGCATTGGTTTGGATTGTTTGGTTTGGTCTGGATTGGTTTGGCTTGGTTTGCATTGGTTTGGATTGCATTGGTTTGCATTGGTTTGCATTGGCTTGCATTGGATTGGTTTGGATTGGCTTGGACTGGCTTGCATTGGTGTGCATTGGTTTGGTTTGGTTTGGATTGGTTTGGCTTGGTTTGCATTGGACTGGCTTGCATTGGTGTGCATTGGTTTGGTTTGGTTTGGATTGGTTTGGCTTGGTTTGCATTGGACTGGCTTGCATTGGTGTGCATTGGTTTGGTTTGGTTTGGATTGGTTTGGCTTGGTTTGCATTGGACTGGCTTGCATTGGTGTGCATTGGTTGGTTTGGTTTGGTTTGGCTTGGTTTGCATTGGACTGGCTTGCATTGGTGTGCATTGGTTTGCATTGGCTTGCATTGGATTGGTTTGGATTGGCTTGGACTGGCTTGCATTGGTGTGCATTGGTTTGGTTTGGTCTGGATTGGTTTGGCTTGGTTTGCATTGGTTTGCATTGGATTGGTTTGCATTGGTTTGCATTGGCTTGCATTGGATTGGTTTGGATTGGCTTGGACTGGCTTGCATTGGTGTGCATTGGTTTGGTTTGGTTTGGATTGGTTTGGCTTGGTTTGCATTGGTTTGCATTGCTGTGCATTGGTTTGGTTTGGTTTGGATTGGTTTGGCTTGGTTTGCATTGGTTTGCATTGGTGTGCATTGGTTTGGTTTGGTTTGGATTGGTTTGGCTTGGTTTGCATTGGTTTGCATTGGTGTGCATTGGTTTGGTTTGGTTTGGATTGGTTTGGCTTGGTTTGCATTGGTGCATTGGTGTGCATTGGTTTGGTTTGGTTTGGATTGGTTTGGCTTGGTTTGCATTGGTTTTGGTTTGGTTTGGTTTGGATTGGTTTGGCTTGGTTTGCATTGGTGTGCATTGGTTTGGTTTGGTTTGGATTGGTTTGGCTTGGTTTGCATTGGTGTGCATTGGTTTGGTTTGGTTTGGATTGGATTGGCTTGGTTTGCATTGGTTTGCATTGGTGTGCATTGGTTTGGTTTGGTTTGGATTGGTTTGGCTTGGTTTGCATTGGTTTGCATTGGTGTGCATTGGTTTGGTTTGGTTTGGATTGGTTTGGCTTGGTTTGCATTGGTTTGCATTGGTGTGCATTGGTTTGGTTTGGTTTGGAATGGTTTGGCTTGGTTTGCATTGGTTTGCATTGGTGTGCATTGGTTTGGTTTGGTTTGGATTGGTTTGGCTTGGTTTGCATTGGTTTGCATTGGTGTGCATTGGTTTGGTTTGGTTTGGATTGGTTTGGCTTGGTTTGCATTGGTTTGCATTGGTGTGCATTGGTTTGGTTTGGTTTGGATTGGTTTGGCTTGGTTTGCATTGGTTTGCATTGGTGTGCATTGGTTTGGTTTGGTTGGATTGGTTTGGCTTGGTTTGCATTGGTTTGCATTGGTGTGCATTGGTTTGGTTTGGTTTGGATTGGTTTGGATTGGATTGGTTGCATTGGATTGGTTTGGCTTGGATTGGATTGGTTTGCATTGGTGTGCATTGGTTTGGTTTGGTTTGGATTGGTTTGGCTTGGTTTGCATTGGTTTGCATTGGTGTGCATTGGATTGGTTTGCATTGGATTGGTTTGGCTTGGTTTGGCTTGGATTGGTTTGCATTGGTGTGCATTGGTTTGGTTTGGTTTGGATTGGTTTGGCTTGGATTGGATTGGTTTGCATTGGTGTGCATTGGATTGGTTTGGCTTGGATTGGATTGGTTTGCATTGGTGTGCATTGGTTTGGTTTGGTTTGGATTGGTTTGGCTTGGTTTGCATTGGTTTGCATTGGTGTGCATTGGATTGGTTTGCATTGGATTGGTTTGGCTTGGATTGGATTGGGTTGCATTGGTGTGCATTGGTTTGGTTTGGTTTGGATTGGTTTGGCTTGGATTGGATTGGTTTGCATTGGTGTGCATTGGTTTGGTTTGGTTTGGATTGGTTTGGCTTGGTTTGCATTGGTTTGCATTGGTGTGCATTGGATTGGTTTGCATTGGATTGGTTTGGCTTGGATTGGATTGGTTTGCATTGGTGTGCATTGGTTTGGTTTGGTTTGGATTGGTTTGGCTTGGTTTGCATTGGTTTGCATTGGTGTGCATTGGATTGGTTTGCATTGGATTGGTTTGGCTTGGATTGGATTGGTTTGCATTGGTGTGCATTGGTTTGGTTTGGTTTGGATTGGTTTGGCTTGGATTGGATTGGTTTGCATTGGTGTGCATTGGTTTGGTTTGGTTTGGATTGGTTTGGCTTGGTTTGCATTGGTTTGCATTGGTGTGCATTGGATTGGATTGCATTGGATTGGTTTGGCTTGGATTGGATTGGTTTTCATTGGTGTGCATTGGTTTGGTTTGGTTTGGATTGGTTTGGCTTGGTTTGCATTGGTTTGCATTGGTGTGCATTGGATTGGTTTGCATTGGATTGGTTTGGCTTGGATTGGATTGGTTTGCATTGGTGTGCATTGGTTTGGTTTGGTTTGGATTGGTTTGGCTTGGTTTGCATTGGTTTGCATTGGTGTGCATTGGATTGGTTTGCATTGGATTGGTTTGGCTTGGATTGGATTGGTTTGCATTGGTGTGCATTGGTTTGGTTTGGTTTGGATTGGTTTGGCTTGGATTGGTTGGTGCATTGGTTTGGTTGGATTGGATTGGTTTGCATTGGTGTGCATTGGTTTGGTTTGGTTTGGATTGGTTTGGCTTGGTTTGCATTGGTGTGCATTGGATTGGTTTGCATTGGATTGGTTTGGCTTGGATTGGATTGGTTTGCATTGGTTTGGGGGGTTCACATTCGCCCTCTACTTAGTCTACAGAAGCCAGGGGTTCAATTCCCCATTGGTGGGATGTGAACCCCTTGGAACGGGTAAATGGGAATTCGGAAAGCACCCCAAAAAGTCGCCAAACAAATTGGGAGGGGTTCTTGTTGGTGCCACAAAGCATCCGGGATAGACAAGAAACTAATCCAAACTACCACGGATTTTCCTTCCAAGGCTTGGTGCAACAAAACAACAAGGATTCTTCTTTCCAAATTACTTGCAAGATGTTGGGAAACTATGCCGTTCCAGGGATTGCTTCTTTCGAACCACATTTTTGTTCACTCTACTTTCTTGCTGGCTCGCCGAGAAAATCAGGGGAAACCAAAAGGGCAAAAGAAAAGCAAAGGCGAGTCTTCCAACAAATGCCCCACCGGCTCTCTCTTGAGGACCCTGGGCGCGAAGTTTGGTGCGAACATGGCGAGGCCTCTGGTGGATGACTCCTAAACCAAGAGGAGCGTAGTGGTTTGAGTATACAGGAGACCCCCAATTTCATGGTGGGTGCACCTTTGTGTCCCGGCAATGCTATGCGGGGATCGGGCACAAGCTCTGGTTTACACACAGTGCGACTTGTGCCCTAGGGGATTTCATGTTGCAAGCGCCACAAGAGAAAACACACCATCAGAGCGCCTATGTTGAATCATCTTTCTCGTAGGCGATCTTTGGCAATTTCGTAGTTTAAACGCGGGCAACTGTGGCGGACCTGAACTGATCCCTCGACACGAAGGCTTGGAGCAACTAAGGTGTCCAAGTGTTGGAAAGCCCCTTGGTTGATGGAAGGAAACCCCAATCAGGTGTCCCTGACCTCACAGCTTGCCAAACGAATCGGGGAACATGGAAGCCATCGAATCAAATCGGGCAGGGGTTTGCCCCGAGCCTTTCTCGGTGACCCGGGGCTGAAAAGGAGAAAAGGAAACAAGCTACCCTTCCCGCGCACAAAGCACCTCTGGGAGCTGGAAGCATGGCCTGTGCCTGGAAGCAACCCCCCAAGTGCCATCACGGGAGAGGAAAAGCAACCTAAGAAACGGTCATTTGAATGGCCGGGATTTTTCAAGCGAGGCTGGCGGGTGATGAGGCCAGCGCCCAGCCAGATTCGGTACTCTTCGTCCGTGTGCTCCTGGCGCTCGCTTTGGCCATGGGCTGAAATTCCGGGGCCCCTGGCGCTCGGAGCCCGGCTTGGAGTGAAAGTTGCAAATCGCTTCCCATCCCTAAAAAAAACCGGGTCAAATCCAATCCAAACCGGGTTGCCTGAGATTAGGTTCCCCAGACCTCGAGAGTGGAAGAACGGCCATTCGTAGGGGATCGGAACAAACATCAGCTTCCATCCCCTTGCGGCGTCCATCCCCTTGCATCACCTTGGTGTTTCCCTATCCATTTCCCTCCAAAAAAAGAGTTAATATGTTGGTCATCTGGCACCATTCCGTTTGATTTGGGGGCGACCCAGGAAAGCGCATCACATTTACCAGTATTGCAATGCCCATATCCATCTGAATAAGAAACCCAGGAAACGTAAGAAAGGGTTTCAAAGAAAATGCAGGTCTTCAAACATAGGAGACGCCCCTGGTTCACTGTTGACAGGGGACAAGCCCTACTTTGGGAAACAGCCAAATGGAAGACGCCTGTCCATCTGCCGTTTTCTTAGGCCATCCAATAAGAGCATGGCGAAACGGACAAGCGACGCTGTTTAGGAATTGCCAACAACCGCCTTAGAAACAAATGCTTGAACCTTTGCAAATGCCTTTCGGCTTGAAAACACGAGCCGTGGGTCTTTTTGCGCATGGCAAGCTGGGGTGTCAAGAGAATCTGCAGGACCCCAACAAAGCCAGAAAAACAACCAACCATCCCTGAAACAACACTGAATCCTCAATACACTGCACGGGGCAGCTGAGAAAAGTACCCTTGGACTTGCATTCCAGTTTGGCTCGTGGGGTCTACCTTCTGCCTCTGAACGGAAGTCTGCACATCTTTGCGGGAGTTCCTTGCTCCCAACAAGTTCAGTGTCTGCTTGAAAGGAAACCCAAAAGTGGCAAAAGGGTCAATCGGTGTGGCCTTAGTTTGTCCAGAATTTGTCCGGCTCCTCGGTTCTGCCGGAGATCATGGGCTCCAAGATGATGCAAAGCACTGAAACCACCGTCACGCCTCAGCTTTGATCATCAGTGGTCAAACAATGTTTGGCCATAGGGTCCGTGAATCTGTACTTCCCCATCGAAACGATTCAAGAACAGTGCAAAATCTGTTTAACTGGTTGCAACTTGGGGCAAGGCAAACATTCTCCAAGCAAAAAGAGAACATGGAAGACCCAACCAGACAGCAGCCAAGAGCATGTTGCATTTTCAAGGGGAAAAAACAATGCTGGCCCAAAGGCGGCCTATCCCAAATGCAGTTACCACGTGTGCCGTGCTCAAGGATAAGTCTGTGGGTCATGGTCAGATTTCCTTTCATAATTTCCTGCAACGCATAAACGGCTCCAAGTAGAACGGTGCTTTGGCCATGGCACATCTGGCTCATTGAGCAAATGCAGGAAAGGCCAAAACGTGAAGTGTCTGGGAGCTGGCCTTCCGGTCACCCGGGGGGGGGTGCCGCGAGAGGAACTGCTAGGACCATGTAAAGGAAGATCGTGCTTTGCGAAATGCGCTACAACAAAGTGGGAAATAACAGCGGAAAATGTCAGGGAAGGAAAGGCTTGCAACAAATGGGTAGAGGAAGAGAAGATTCACTTCAGAGATTGGACGAAGCCGTTCTCGATACTATATCGCAGACTTTCCTCTGTATAGATGGAACACAAAGTTAGCCTGATTTTCCCTTGAAGCTTGAAATTCAACTCATGTGAGAAAAAGAACAAAACAACTCAACCCACGGGATATCGAGAAATTTGAGGCCGTGAACCGCCTCTTTGAAGACCTTGGACCTGTTTTTACAAATATCCTGCCAAAACGGGCTGGCCAATTGAAAACAGAAGTTACAGAACCCCCTTAAGAAACAATGGTGCAGAAGGCCAATTGCCGTCCTGATAAGTGGTTGCGAGACAACTGACATCAGATCCACCAATTCAATGGTCACTGGGTCTTCTTTTTTTGTTGACCACTGCCATTCATGTCATTGAGAATCCTCAATGCTGCTGATCTCGTCCACCTCGAGGGTGCATGAAGAGATTTGTTTATGCCCGCAAGCTTTATGGAACAACACGCGGCAAGAACGCCGAACACCCCGCCCACAACCGGTCTGCTAGGGGCTCGGAATCCAAACAAACAAGAGTGTCCCAAACTAAACCGAATTGCCTCAAGGCGAAATCATTAGACATATTATCCTCTTCTGATCGTGTCTTATGCCTCAATCTGGGGGTTGAGCCCCCGTAACACCATTCCAAGTACTTAGGCCCTGCCTTGCAAACCTAGCAGAATTATGTTCTGCGAGGGCGGAGGAGGGGATTCAAACACCACCCCACCAAAGATGCGTGAATTACCCAAAAAGACAAACATACAGAACTATGGAAAGCCCCAATCGAACAGGGCGACCGCATTCTGTGACTTCGAAGCGGGGTCCAACAAATAGGTCTAGGATACTGAACATGTCACGCGATTCAAGCTGGAGCCATGTTGGAGTCTATGGGCCGCAGGATAAAGGGACCTCGTACAGATGGGAAGTCGACCGGGTGCCGGGCAATTCATGAAGTAGACCACCACGCAAGCGCTTTTCGAGGAGTTGGGCCTGCCCGCGCGACTGCATTGTATCCATATCTATATCTATATCTACATCTATATATATATATATCTATAATTATATATATATGTATTATATCTATATAAGAACCCCTGCCCCCCCCCCCCCGACGAAAGAAAACGAGTAGACGACAAAAGCTCGGACATAATGCAATTGATTCTGGCTTGCCCCGGGCTGTCCTTGAGCTCCCGCTCCCTCGAACCAAAACCACGAGTCCGGCTAAAGTGCCATATTTCCCCCAATGCTTGGTTGAGGGTGTTCCAAACAGTAACAAAAAGGAATGAGCCAAGGAATTGTCTGCGTTGTTCCCACAAGCCGAGAAACATGTTTTGATAATATAAGTTATAAGCCATATTGTATCAATCTAAGAGTTCTAAAGTGGAGATCATTCTATGCAACGTGATGCAATTTGGATCTCCAGCCACGTGAGTTTAAATTGTGGGCCCTTTGGTGGAGTTCATGGCTATGTCTACTTCCACACTGTGCATCAGAACGCAGCCAACATCACAGTCAATGTCCTAGTCATAGCTGCTTGGCCTACGCGGCCAAGTGGTGAGCATGGTCCGAAGCGATAAGGACAAGCATCAGCGCAAATATTCTGCGGCGCTCTTGCTGGACCACGACTAAGGATTCCCCGTGTTCCGGGGTGAGGCTGCGAAGGCTGATAACTCTGTGGGTCGCAAGACAGATAGGTCTGATGGTTGATGTCTTTTAGTGCACGCTTTGAAGCATCCTGGCCATGAATCAGGACAACTAACAACAATTGACAATCCGGTTCCTGGCGCGCAAAAAAACACACACAAAAAACGGACATCGACCTTGCTGAAGATGGTGTTTTGGTAGCTTTAGTTCTTTGCAAAAGGCCTGAGCCTGGGGATCACCTCATGTTTTTGTGTCATCTTAAGTCCAAGGAAACCATGCGGCGAATTTGAATACACCATCTCCCAGCTTAAATGCGCGACGTCTTGAGACTTCACATCCCAGAGATCTGAGCCTGCTCCTGACAAGAGGGTCCCCTGACAGTTTGCTCACAATCAGAGCTTCGCTCATCTCATCGACTCAATGAACTCTTGGCAGACTATTTCCATGAAGGAAGACGTTGTGTGCTAGACGCCTTTGAGATGCGTGGTCAGCTTTACTCCGCTGAGAATCGACGATTGTCAATGCTGATCCGCAGGAAGTGCGACTGCGGAAGACAACCAGATTGCCCGCTTTGCTGCGACGCGCAATGGAGCACGGGAGATTTGGAAGCGTTGGTAGCTGTCAACAGTCCACACAAGGTGTACTTTGCGGTCGAAGCAATTTCCTGGCTTTCACACTTCCAAGCTCCAAATGTGAGGAGTGCACTGCTCTTACCACTTTCGTGCTTAAAAGTAGCAATTTTCAAGCCTCTGGAAGAGTGGCTTCGATTGCTGCTTCCGTAATTACTTACAAAGCTGCCATGTTCAAGCCTGCCCTTGGCTTGCCTCGGCTTCGCTCGGCATCGAAAACCGAAATAAATACACATAGCAGAAACACGTCAGCTGAGCATGTGGGTTGCTGAACCTGCTGGCGTTGTCCAGCTGCAGGAATGTGCGCTTTTGGAAGCAATGTCATAACAGTTGCGAGTGCTAATTAATTTGCACTTAAAAGTTTGACGTGTGTTGGCCGTGCTCCGCACGTGTTTTTGCTTGAAAGTTGCGACTTTCGAGCTGCAGCTGGAAAAGTGTACTTCGCGTGCTGCTTTCCTGCTGACAAGTGACGATCTTGAAGCCTCGTACTACTTTCCTGCTGACAAATTATCACTTTCGAGCCACAGCTGCAAGACTGTACTTCGCATACTACTTTCGTTCTTAAAGTTGCGATTTTCAGCTGAGAAAATCAAAGTTCGCACAGCGCACCGCGAGAGCGCTTCGACACGCGCGATAGGCTTCATCGAGGACAAGGAATCCGCAGCAGTCACGTGCGGAGGGTTGTTCGGTGCCAGGAAGCGTCTGCCACCGCACTGGGCAGACGTCATAAGGCGTCAGACAGCTGCCGTGCCGACTCCTTTATAAGCTTGAGGTTCTTGAGCACATCCAACATGGCCGCCAGAAAAGAAAGGCAGGAAACCACTAGTGACAAACAAAGAGGGGTCTAAACGCGATGGCGAAGCGATGCAGGCAGCACAGTTAGCCGGAGCTGTAGTTAGCCGTTGCGATCCCAAGCCAAACAGCACAGTGCCTGCACTTGCTTGCCCCAAAATTTATGGTTTGTTGAATTTCCCAGCAAGATGCAATAAGAGTTCAACACAATATCAGAGCTGTTGCAGACCTACTAAAGCTGCCAAAGTGTACTGTGCGTTCTGCTCTTATACTGCGAGCTCAAAGTATACTTCTCTTACTACAAGTGGATGATATTCAAGATTCAAGATGCTTGAACAAACAGCTGCTTGGGGGATCTTGAATCTTGAAACTCATTTACCGAATCTCAAAACACACGGAACGCTACAACATTGGCAGGCTTTTGGGAAGGAGGGCCAGCATTCATAAATATATATATATGCATTCTGCAAGACACATATTTAGGCCTCACTGTGACCCGTATTAAATCGGCTAATGGAACACTTCAAAAAAACACATGGAAATGGATTTTGGGCAAGAGTCCAGTCCTTGCTACTAGTGACTCCAATGCCATTCTTTGTTTGCGGAACGTGCGACCCGGATTTGTTGTTCCAGTGCTCCGACCTGGCTTCTGATGCTGATACCGACAATTGCCAACAATGACTTGTCTGTTTTCCTCGGGGAATCCCTTCGCTGTCTAACAAGAAGATGTAAGAAGCTAGTTGGATTGGGCTTTTTGCAAATCATTTCACATTGCCCACACGGGTTTCGCAAGGAAAGCACCTAGAGAACGTTGGCTCTTCTTGGAGAAACCTTTGATCCTCCCTAAAGCAAGCCCCAAAATAGCTACCTTCAAACAGCAGAACTGCTAATGACCTTCGGATAAGCTGCCAATCTTCGCAAGGTTCGGTTTACTTTCGCTGGCTATTGGTACCTGAGCTGTGCTTCTGCTGTGCTTCTGCTGTGCTTCTGCTGTGCTTCTGCTGTGCTTCTGCTAAAAACGAACATATGCGGGCTGGTTTATTGCGATGAAGGGGTCTAACTCGTTTAGACCTGCCTACATCACACATGCATGAGCAACAAAACACCAGCAAAAACCCATGGCAGCGCAGCCTGACCAACAAAGGACACATGAGCCCCAGACAACTTTTCCCAAGAGAAACATAAAGAGAATTAACGAAAAGAGGGGGACAGGACGTATGCTCCAAATTATAGTTCTATGTGTCTATATGGCTTCGCTGGCTATACGGCGTCAGGAAGCTTTACATGGGTAGTTTAACCCTCGATCAAGAGGTCGATCACCATCCAAATTAAGCCCAAGTAAACAGGCGCGTCCATTGCGCATCGCATTTCAGGGAACCAAACAGAAAGCCCCGCTTTGGCAGTCGCCGGATCCCACCTCTCGAAGTGGTCCAGCACGCATCGCGCCCATTCCGGACCTTCTGACTCCACTGACTCCTGAGGTTGAAAGCTGAATGGACGAATCCCGGACTCTTCCATGTAGGAAAACAAATGGGACATGAGCCAAGCAGTATTCATTGTCTCAGTGACACAGGAATTCGTGAGCCCAATGAATACTGGATAAGCCGCCTACCAATCCGTTGACTAGGTGTCCCCGTTTAGAGGGAACCCGGATCACTTTTGGTGAAGCGCAGCCCTGTACATCTGCCGGGTTTACCATGGGATTGACATTGCAACATTGTTGCACTCCAAGTGGCTTGTGTAAGTGTCTATCCAAGCCCTGAGACAATGACCCCACAAATGATAGATGGCTGCCTGTGTCAAAATAGGCCGACATCGCCAAACAAAGGATCCCACGTGCTTTAGGACTCCCATACAAGGGCAATACTCAATGAAGTAGGAGTAAAAATACGACGTGGCAACACGGTCAGCCTCACCATTTCCCAAGCAGGCTGCAACTGTGGCGCGCTAACAGTTGGTGTAGGGAGCCACATGTTAACGCTGACGCCACGTGTCATTACGTAAGTTGCAATTCTGGAAATGAGCCCGTTGAGGATTCTGAGGCATGGCTTCAAACCATGCTCATCTGTCTTTCTTCCTTCTTTAACACGTCCTCATTCGCGTGTTTGGGGCAGTTTCAGAAGCAGGATCGGTCGGTTCTGAGAATGACAAGGTATCCGCCGCACAACTAAGCTCCTTTTTCGCAGTTGTTGTTTCTTTGGTGTATTGAAGCCCGCCATGCTATATACCCAAATTATCTCCAAGATGGGTCGCGCTTCCGCACCTGTTGGTCAGCTTCCCTGAAACGCTGGGCCTTGAAAAGCCGGCTTGATTGTCAGTGGCACATGTTCGTACCATCGGGCACATCTTTGGAGGTTAGGCCAATAGTTTAACCATGCTTACAGTGACTCTTGGTTGCTTAAACAGCGTCCCAGTCGTCTTTGGACCCGAGAAACTGATGTTAGAGGCCAAAATCCAAATTTGGGAAATAGGCTCAAGAACGAGCCTCCAATTCAGAACACAGAGTTTGCCGGTGGCCCCTCGCGCACTCACAAGCGCGTTGCTCTTAGGCTTGATCGTGAAGTACCCTGCGAATCTTCAATTGCCTTGGAAGTGACATGCGTCGCTTGACTTTTGCGAATGGCTGATTCTCCAGCTGTAAAACAAATCAACCTACCGCAGGGGCCCAAGGTCAACCCAGAAAGCGGCGCTTGTCTCTTGGCACTTGGCGTCCGTTCTAAGGGAGTTGTTCGAGTGTAAAAGGATCTCCCTGCTCTTGGACTTGTTTCGTAGGATCCCACCCCGCAATTCCCCCAGCAAATAAGGCCTTCGTAAACCTAACTGGCAAACAAGGGGACGGCGGACGCGCATGTTGCATCCGGTTGTTGAGACACCTAGATAAACTTGCTTTGAGTCGCACAGGGCCCAACACCCAGGAAAGTCTTACATGTTTTGAATTCTACGGACGGTCAGATCTACTTGGTATGGCAACCGCACGAGGGTGAACTATCTGAAAAAGTGCCCGCTAATCAAAGCTGAGAGTGGAGCTTCGCTCCCCCAAGAGCTTGAGCTGATGGCTCTCGTGACATGTTTACTCAGATGGGCATCTATCTGAAAAAATCGGCGGAACTGTCCCATGTGGTATTACGTCCGTCCCCGGCCGAGCAACCCGGTCCTTTTCAGGGCTGATGTGCCTGGAGAAGGACTGCCGCGACAGGTTCGAGGAGTCCTCAGCTGGGCAACTCTTGGGCAACAGCGGGATTTTCTAGGCAAGGATCTGGATGTGGCTTTTGTGGATCCACCCCTGTAGGACATGAAAAGAGTAATAAGAGAGTACTAAAAAAGAGAGAACAGGGGGAAGAACAGGTGAAATCACAAAAAACGCATCCAAACCGTTGTCTAGAGAAATGCAGCAACTATTGGTGATTCACCCAAAGGATGTAAGGAATCTTTCAAGTGAGGCACCCTCATGAGCTTGTAATAAACCCCTCGTTCTAATCTGCGCAGAGGAATTGGCTGGACGCTCCAATAACGACTGGTTGACACAACAGTGCTCCTCCAAAGATATATCCCAAAATTGTTAGTGTATCCTTTCAGCAACTCTGCACCGTCAGGCAAGACAAGTAGAGCCAACCAGACATCATTGGCTGACTGTCAATTTGTTGATTCTGGCTTCGGAAAGGGATCCAATTAGAGGAAAACCGCTGTGTGCTGACAAAGGAATATTCTATATCCTCCCCAGTAGGGTGGCCCCCCAAGAGCCAGCCAGCTATGTTGCTGAGCTGCCTCATGCTGCCTCCTTCACTTGGGTGCTCAGCCTAGTAAGTAACTTCAACGACGGGTATAAGTGGTGTAAGAGGCGTTGGTTCCCTTATGATCCTGATTGTAAGCTACGTACCAAGTAAGTTCAAAATCCAAGCCGGGTATTACATTTGTGCCAAAGGTCTCTGAACCAGCCTTCAACAAAGAAAGTACTGAGATACCTTCAAGAAACGGGAATCGGACCAGTTCCCCTTTCACAGGCGACCCCCAAACTGGAACCCAAGAAGGGGTCCTACCTCTCTCGGAGAGGCACTGCTTGCACCAACAGTTGCTCTTTGACTACCACTTTTCCTCTAAAAATCAAGAAGCACATGCTCACACAGCTGGAGATAAGTACTTCAAGCGCTTCGGCCGTCCGTGCTTGGTCCAAATGTTTGAACTTGAGCGGGAAATTTGCGGGGCGCATGTGCAAACACGGGAGACTGGGCCCACGCGTCCAGTTGGGCGGATCGATCGCCAGTTGGGCCCCCAACCTTGCGGCGCATGGCCTTGTCCCTGTGCCGGTCCCAGGCCCTCTTGGGGCGCACGCCTGAAGAAACGAGCGGGGCGAGGCCAAAGCCCGGAGGATAGATGTCCAACTTACGCTAGGGAGGCCGTCTTGAACCGCCATTTCAATTTCCTGTGACATGAAGCTAACAGAACTTCTTCTCGCCGCCGTCGCAGAACATTGCCCCCAGGCAACGAAACCAATACCAGTATCAATGGTCTATCCTTGTGGTTTGATGTCTTTTCGAAAGACTACAACTTCCTTTTGGAAACGGCCCTGCGTGGCCTGCGTTGGGGACGAGTGGCGCATCTCGGTTAGAACATCTCAACCCAGAGCCTAGACTCCGCGCAAGGCAGCCCCGGCGATATGCGAATGGATCGCAAGGCTATGCCTCAAGTTCAACTCGTTGCACCCTTCCAAGCATCCAAGTGGAGTTGGAAACATCGGTGGAACTTTTTGCAGATCATAAACTCGGTGGGCAGGTGGCGAAAGAGGTCCACACTACTTGGGCAACCACGGCACTTCCCTTTCAATGAATCACTGCATCACCCACTTCAAGGACACGCACTTACTGCATAGCTCACTGGCAAACAAGCCTAAGGCGCTGAATTTCGCTTTTGCCAACCAAGTCGCGAAAATAATGTCTCAGAGTGTCCGCAGGTTTGTTCAGATCCAGGGTCAAATTAACAAGAACATAATAGGACGGCTCCAGGGGTGTGAAGCTTTAGACATGCTAACCTCTTTCCAACAACTGTGGAAGTGGGCAGGAAGGCTTTGGAGGACTAGCTTCGCGGGCTGCCATCCCTCGCCCGCCTTCGCTATCGAGCACGCACTTGGGAGGCAGCCTCCCTGGGAGAAGCGAAGCGTGTGCATCGAGGAACCATAGATCTCCGTATATGGGTATGTACAACAATTGGGGACGGATTGAAATGGGAGGGAGCTTCTTTTGCCTTGAAAAGGGGTCCTAGGGACCATGTATTCTTGGAGTCACATAATTGGAATCACCCAAATATGAGTGTGTATGCAAATTCGGCAAGTGCGTTTGTGCGCATCATGCGCATGTAGCATGCGCATGCAGGCCTGCTTGTGTGCTGCTTCTGAAGGCTGACCAAAAGTTGCCACTCAATTTGATTCATGTCAGGCGCCAAAATAATTGCACAAATCCCACACGTCTGCCAGGCTAAGGCACATGCAAATGTTTAAACTCCTCTGTGCTCCCGTCCTTGGAATGAGCCAATATCAAAATCCGCGGAACGTACAGTGCCCAAAACCAAGTATATGAGGCCAATCACAGGAACGCCACCACACTTGTGATCGGGAAATGACTGGAATGATGGCCCCCCACCAATCTACAACTTGACAGTCAGCTGTCGAAACTTATGCCGCACCATCTCGAAGGCATTTTGACAACTACAAGGGCATTCGCACAGGAACCTCATTTGGGCGGTCCCAGCTTTCAGTTTCGCATATCGACATTGTCGCGCGGCATGACCCTCAAGCTGATGCTCGCAAAAAGCAAGGAGTAAATCAGTGGAGAAAGTCAGGGGTGGCAAGGAGTAAATACGTACAGTGAACGGACACCAGAGCCAAATCCTCCGAAATCAAGAGGTCTGCGTCAAGGAAAGACCCCCTTCCTAGTGATATCAAAGGGCCCACTGTATCACTTAGGCGAGCGCCTTGTCGCAGAAAAAAAGAAGCAAAGTCCCACCTGTGTTTTTTTTCAAAAACCGTTACGCCTTTCCCAATTCTCCACAATTTGCGGGACAAAACACCAATTCGCCGAACATGCCGCTACTGAAGGGAATGGACCCCGCTGACCAATAAGTGCTGGAGTTGCGGGGTCGATATTTCCAAAGAAAACCACATGGATCCTTGGACAATGACCTGCCGAAACCTCAAAAGATCTACAACCAACCCCACTCCCCGAATGCGAAAAGGCTGACCTCCCACTGAAAACATTCCACAAAAACGCCCCCACTCTCCCTCTCCACCTAGTCCACGTCTCTTGGGGGAATTTTCAGGGCTGCACATGAGCCCCACCCCCCTTTTTGACATTCGAAGGGATGCCCATATGACACGAGCTGTTCTTAGCGGTTCAAATCCTATTCTAAGAAATAAACAAATACACATCATTCACTTAAACTGAAAATGCAGCATAATACATGGGAGCGTATACATAAGCCCAGAATTCCCCAACAGCCCCGGCCGGAACCCTCCACAACGAGGGTCCTCCCTGAAAGCTGCCCGACCCCATAACTTTCAGCTGGGAATACTTGCAATGCAACAATATCCAATGACCAGTCTGCCATGGCTCATTCGTTCTTCTGTCTTGGCTTTTAATTAATCGGATACAAATATGCCTTAATACTAACAACTGCATTTACTCTTCTCATATAACTATCTAGCAATTAAACATACAATCATCAAATATAGTGGGTAAGATTTACCACTCACCATATATATATATATATATATGTATGACAAATGTCTACCACGTTTTGTTCTGCGCTTGCCGAACAATATCACTCCACTGAACCAACTGGGTCCCTTTGAACTGCCTTTCGACTTTACATTCAGTATTCTAGGGGTACCTTCCCCATTCTTTCCAGGGATCCTTCTTTTCAGGAAACCATCAAAAACCCACGGGAACCAGCCGATTTTGGGAAAAAAGAGCGATGATTGAAACAAATGGACAAGGAATCAACCCCTAGTATCATTCGATCCATAGGGTCCCTTTGAACTGCCAAAGGGCCTTTGCCCCTTTGGAGGTTGGTGAGGAACACGGTGAGGAGGCTGCATGTGTCCAGCTCGTCCCCGCCGCCTCCGCATGAAAACGCGCGCAACCAGCTGGGGTCGTTTCTATTGACTTGAGTCCCCTCCACCGAATGGAGAAAGCAACATCAACTAGTTCCAGTCCCAAAGGCAGGGTATCCGAGGTGACAGAAGATGCCTCACTTGAAATCAGGCGGCTTGCTTGATTGGTTTGTTATCAATGGATTCTAGGATGCTACATATAGTGGGACTCTGATGTAATGTAAGCTGGAGATATCCGCAAACAAATCACAACGTCTTACCCACCAAATTCCTTGGAAAAGGGCAATTCTCCCGACTCCCTGGGCATGCCCAATTGGGGCCAAATATCACCAACGGTGACTCCCCTAGTTTTGGTGAGAAACTTGTTGAGTGCCCCCATGTGCCTTCCAACCACGGACTGTATACCTTGGTTGAAGAGCACATTCCCTGGAACGCCGCCTCTAAACTGAAGCCAGAGATGAATTTCATTGTGCTTTTCCTCGCCATGCCCAGTGGCCATGCAAAAAGGTCGAATACACGCTCACCTCGCATGGAACCAGGTATTTTGGCTTGGCTTCAAAACCAAACTCTTAAAAATCCTCAGGTGGTGAGACGTTTGAAGCCCCAAATATTGCAAGTGCGGAGCAGACAAACAAAGGGAACGGTCCACTAATTGCGACATGACATCTGCGGCCCCCCCTCCCCTGATACAATGTTGAACTTGCAATGTATTGGGCCTCGGAAGACGGGTTACGCGCTTGGCTTCAACATTGTAAGTGGGGGAGAGGGGTCCGCACGCAGATGTCACAGAAGCGGTGTCAACATGTGCTTTGGTTGCACTTGCAATATTTGGGGCTTCCACTGTACCAATCTGATTTGGGGGGGCCCTTGACAACCATAGGGAAGATGGGGATCAAAAAAACAGGAAATTGTCCGGAGCCCCCGAAACTCGGCCGTTCGAAGCCTTGCCCTCGTCGAATCCAATCCGCAGCCCACAGCATCTCCTGCCGCTCGCATCACTTGGGGCTGATGCCCCTCTAATCCCCCACAGGGCTCCCAATATATATATATATATATATATATATATATATATACATATACACACAAAGTACATACAATGAAACGTGTTTGGAGCGTCACAACAAGTATTCTACGTGTTATGCACATGCGGTTGAAGCCCTAAACATTGCGACTGCCGCAACGGGCGCCGCGTGGCAAGAAAAAGCGAGAACACCCCCCCTTCTTCTCTGCTTTACTTGTGGGTCTGATTGCGGCAGGGTACCCTGTCGGGGTCAAAAAGGAAGCAACCATGGCTAGTGGGTCCCAATAAAACATCATGGCTCTCGGGACATGTTCAAGGGAGTGAAGGGGTGCGAGAAGATTTCCCGCCAGAGCTTGAGGTTGCAATGGTCTTCCACAGAGCCTATGATACAAGCAAATGGAAATGAAGGCCCTGTACATGTTGTTAAGATATTGGTATAGGCACAGGATAACGGATAGGATAACGGATAGGCATAGGATAGGTACAGGATAGGTACAGGATAGGTATACAACAACTAATAGGTATTGCTATAGGATAGGGTTTGGTGGTTAGGTGTGAGAATGGACCTGCGTTGAACACGTGGCCCAAACCTTCATGTGCCCAGCAAAACCACGCGGAGCCCGTGCCCTTTCTTGCAAGCCTGGGATTTTGCTTTTGGGTTCAAAAGATAAACAACTCTGATGCGCCCTGAAGCACCAAGTGTTTCAGGAAACGTGACTGGCGTTGGGCAACCAACAACTTTTGCGGTGGCTCCCGTTGCCGGCGCAAAGGACATGGGAAATCAGTGAGTCCCCGGCTTGTGCTCAACTACGGGCACTTCTCCTTTTCAGGTCCGGCTTTAAAGTTTCGACGCTTCAGGGCATCAAAGAGTCCCAACCAGAACGTTGGATCGCCTGTTGGGAATGTGAGCCTGGCCCTTCCAGGTGGTTGGGTTGGGCTTGCCTAACAAGAGCCCAGTATCAGCAATTGTGAGCCAGCAGTGCTTCCGCTTCTTTGTCGCTCTCTCTCTTTCTCTCTCTCTCTCTCTATCTCTCCTCACTCTCCAACTGCAGCGTTGCCTACGCAGCAAATGAACACTTACATGGAATCTCCCCCAGTGAACATGACCAAACAGACCATGCACAGAGGCTCGCACAGGCATGTCGTTGAGGCACTTAGTGTTGCTGCTACCCTC